GTTTCACTTTTTTGATCATGAAACCACGACTCGTTGTAATCCCACTGGTTCAAACTGGGGTTGCACAGATGGAGTTTATATTCCTGAAACTGACGGTGTCAACATGACGAATAAAAAGGATTTTTGTGAAAACTCTTAATGATGGAACAAAATGATCAAAGCGGCTTACGGACAGCAATTTCTTTTTTCCAAAATACGCCACTCCGATGTTATTCCACAGGACTGCATCCTCGGGTGCGTTTCGAAGAGCATTTCGATATTTACTCAGTGCCACATCGTAATCCCCGTGTGCTATCATCACACTTGTAGCAGCCAAAGTTGCTTGAAAATGATTGGGTTTGTAACTCAGTGCTGTACCAATTTGTTCAAACGCTTGAGCTTCCTCACCCTTCTTCAGGTGCAACAAACCAATGCGGGCAAGCAAATCTGGTTGATCGTTTCCGTGACTTTGACAGCAATGCAAAAAATAGAAATGATCATTAATTATATAATGCAAAACAAAGCAAGTATTTTGGACGAAATTTGTTCCTTTCATTCAGTAATACCTCACATATGAGCCCACTATCCCTCAATGTCTTTGGGAGCGCTTAGTACTCCTCGATCTTCTTTTCAATCAGAATTTGATACATTAATTTTCAATAATCCCTAATTTCCACCACATGAACACGCACAAAGAGTTTTTTCCCACCCGGATACTATCACAAACCACATTCTTATTACGAAATCATCTCATAATTTGTTCACCGTTTGCTTGCAAGTGCCTTGGGAGGGGGTTGAAGAGTTGTTAGGACTATAACAAATTGAGTACACTTTTTCAATAGCACCCGTCAGTTTGGGGGCTGATAGTGCAAAAACCATTTGTACATACACAATAGAGTACATGAGTGCATGAAATCAAATTCATTTATTTATGTACAAAAATAAGCTTGCATTTCTGTGCTTTGGTTTCGGTTGCCATTTTGCAGATTTTTATCTTATCAGTATCCGACCGGTAAACAAATGACCGAAATAGATAATTTTACCGACGAAAAGGGGTGGATTGCTGGAGAAAGGCGAAACTGGTTGCATTTATCTGAGGTATGTAACCATGTATTAGATTGATTCTGAGAATTCCTGTCGGACAAACTAATAAAACGAATGTAATTATATGCTAATGAGGTCATTTCTGCTTACTTTTTACAGTGGAAATTCCTAAAAGTCGGTGAGTTTCACGCCAAATTACTGGACAGGCATGATCTATGTTCACAAACATCGTTCATTAAAATTAATTGGATAAATGAATGCAAAATCATCAAATGAGAGATGGGACTATCGAGTCACTATCAAATCTAGGTAGTGAAACTCGTAGACAAATGACAGATCTTCCAAGTTGATGGATGACTTCCATACTGATTTTATTTGTATTTGAAATGTAAAATACGTTTCACACAATTACACGTGCATATCAATCAAAAACGTGACGCTTAAAGTAATCA